AAAAAAAAAAAAAAAAAAGAAATGCCTTTACCCAATGAGCAATCTCTTCCTAGTCCCTCCTTCTCCCAGCTTCTGGCAACCATTAATCTGCTTTCTCTCTGTACAGACCTGCCTATTCTGGACATTTTATGTAAATGAAATCGTATAATAGATGGCCTTTTCTGTCTACCTTATTTCACTTCGCGTAATATTTTCATGGTTCATATATGTTGTACCATGGCTTAGGACTTCTTTCCTTTTTATTGCTGAATAATATTCAACTGTATCTATATACATTTCATGTATTAATTCATCAGTTGATGGACATTTGAGCTGGTTCCAACTTTTAACTATTGTGCATAGTAGTGCTGCTATGAGTATTCATGTACAAGTTTGTATTTAAACACCTGTTTTCAATTCTCTGGGGTCTATACCCAGGAGTGGAATTGTTGGGCCATGCAGCAATTCTATGTTTAAATTATTGAGGAACTGCCAAACTGTTTTCCACAGTAACTGCATCATTTTACATCTCCACCAACAGTGTATGAAAGTTTCCATTTCTTCACATCTTCATCAACACATATCATTTTCCATATTTTTGGATTAAAGCCACCCTAATGTAGGTATGAAATATATATGCCTCATTGTGATTTTGGTTTGCATTTCCCCAATGACTAATGACTTTGAGAATCTTTTCATATGCTTGTTGATAATTTGTATATTTTTGAAAAAAAGTATTTATTCAAGTCTTTTGAGGCATGTCTTTCTTACTTGTACAAGAAACCATTTGGGGTAGCGGTGGCCCTGATAACTCAACTAGATTACAGGTTCCTTGAGGGCAGGAATCAAACCTTTTATTCCGCTTTGGTACATATTCTCACAGACTGCAGAGTACCCTTCTCGTACACAGCATTTTTATAGTTCCTGAAAGTACAGTCTCTCATTGGCTTCATACACATCTTATAAAGTCAACAGGGTAGAGATGTTTTTCCTTAACTCAGATGCCTCTTTCTTTGAAAAACTCTCTGGTATCCTCTGAACATAAAGTTGATGAATTTTTAACAACTGGGAATGCATAGGCATGGACCAATCAGGAGGATCGATGGCTCCTGTATAAACATTCAGCTCTTCTAGACTAGCTGGTTGTCAGTATCAATCCCCCTCTTGTCAGAAGTGTCCTTCCTCTGGGCTCCTATCGTACTTCCTTAGTACAGCAAGGTTGAAGGCTTTGCTAATTTGAATAATGCAAAATGTAAATACTGTGATAGAAACATTAATAACATTTATCTTTATGTTCAACATTAAAAATAATGAGAATCAGCTCCTCCTCCTTCCCCTATGATTAAAAAAATTCATTGATAGTCACATAATTTCAAACCCGTTGAGCTGAGTGGATCGTAAACTGCACTTTGGCTATTGAGGTTTAGTGGGGGTTCTTTACTGGGAAACTGAAATCCCTGTCGTCCACTTAGAATGTAAAACTGTTGCTTTATCGTTGATTCTGACTTCAATTTGCAATCTTTTTTTTTTTTTTTTTAATCCCTTACGAGTCATTTCAACATTCATTCAGTGGTGGCACTAGAGCTGGAAAAACATGCTCCCAAATCAATTAAGAGTTATATGGGATAAAACATCATAAAGAAGGCCAAATGACTACAGTTAACTTGAGGAGAGAGTACTTTGTGTACTATAAGATATAATGCTGAGAAAATTAAATAAAAATATGCTATAATGATTATAGCTACTTGACTACTGTGAGTGTAACCCCATGTTTCTTTCCACTGGCTTGAATGACATAGGTTTTACATTATGCAAGGTCTTCAGGGATGCTGCCCTGAAGTAAAACTCAACTGTCCTATACCTATTTTATGACACTTGTAAATCCTAGTGCATTATAATCAGCTGTGTCTGTCTCGAGGGTGAGCTTATAACATCTTTTAAATCAGCAACATGCTGGCTGAGCTTTGATCCATAGAAATACAAACACACAGGCTTCTTCACTGCAGAGAAGACCTATGCTGTGCTGCACAGAGAATAGAGGTTTAGTGGCCCATGTCTCATTTCCAGCTTTGTGACATTCCTAGTGAGCTGAACCTGTTCTTGGGTCTGTGTGACCACCACGCATGTTATCAGACCTAACTCAGAAAGCTCTGCAGGTTGAGTGCCAGGTGGGGAGCTGGCATGGTCATACCTTTACAGCAGTGTGCACGGGAATAGGGGTGCTGGGGGGACCAAGCCCCTGCTTCCCAGTGTCTGACTGGTGGCTGGTCTGTGAGGTTGAGTCATTTCTGTCTTTTTCTGAGCTGGCAGCAAGATCCTGAAATCCAAATTTTGCCATTATTAGGACACAAGAACAGGTTGTGTGACACAAGTGTTAAAGTAGAGCCCCTCCATAAAACTTTGCTGCTTTAATCCTAGCTTCTTCCTCAAGTAAATATTAGCTTACTCCTCTAGAGGAGAGAAGTCACTCATATACACACATACACATACACACATAAATATATCATTTGTCATCCAATTGAGGACACTTTTGAGAGTGAGAGGGGGCATTCTTAATAATGATCCCAGAGGACAGGTACAAAGCAGGTCTGTTTTAGGCAAATTGGGATATCTGGCTGTCCTGTGTGAGGGTTCCACCTGTCTATGACCAGATCCACCTGTTGGACATGATCATGGAGTTGAAAAGAAAGAGGGAAGATTGGGCGTAGGATTTTGGGAGGAAAATAGGACAAGGTAGATGAAAAGGATGTTAGTGGAAGGAGGGGAACTGTGTGCGTGTGTGTGTGTATGTCTAAGTGTGTGTCTGAGTGTGTTTATATTTAGGTTTGTATATGTGTCTATGTATGCATGTGTGTGTGTATCTGATTGTGTATGATTGTGTGCATGAGTATGTATGTTTGTATCTGATTGTGTGCATGAGTATGTATGTTTGTATGTATGCGTATATATGTGTGTGTTAGATATGCATATATGTGCATGTGTGTATACATGTATGCTAGATATGCATGGGAGTTTCTGTGTACATGTATGTGCCTGTATGCATATGTATGTATGTGTTTTGTGTATATATGTGCAGGTATATGTGTACAGAGTCATAAAAAAACCTTCATGAGAGGCAGATTCTGAAAAGGTAATCGTTATCTTCTCTTCCTCTCCTACATTCCTCTACTGTGACTCTGACAGAGAGGGGCTAAGGCTGCCTGTAAACTCCCTCTGGAGAGTCAGTGCTGAGCTCCCTGGTTCTTCCCTAGGCTCTGGCACCTGCCAGAGGCCCTAAGGATTCTTTTCTCTCAGAGCCTCAGTGTCCTCATCTGTCAAACATGGCTGCTGGGTGAAATGACATAAAATGATTTTTGCATTTTGCCTGGCATTGTTCAGTATGTGTTCACTTCTTCCCTCTAAGGTTAGGCAGAAAAAAACTAAACTTGTTTTTTCCCTCCAACCATTCTTAAATCAGAAGCTGAGGAATTTACTGTCAGAATAATGCGTACAAATGGTCTGATATACTGTTTGATGTTATCAGAGAAACTTGGCTGCAAATACCAGCTGCAGAAGGCAGGGGAAGGAAAAATGCTTTGATTATGACTCTTGCACAGTGAACACATGAATGTCTCAGTTCTGCTTTTTATGCCTCCCTTTTCACATTTTTTCCTCGGCAGCTGTAGGTTTGCTCTGATGAGGTGAAGATCATTGTTCCTATAGGCATGACAATGACCAGTGACCAACACGGCTCAGGAAACAAGGCCCAAGATGAAAGCTATTGTAACTGTGCCTAATATCTGTGTGCTGTTTTTTATACGAAAAGAAAATTTTCTTTTTTTTTTTTTTTTTTTTTGTGTTGGAGTCTCACTCTGTTGCCCAGACTGGAGTGCAGTGGCCGCTCCCGGCCACTGCAGCCTCGACCTGCTGGGCACCAGCGATCCTGCCGCCTCAGCCTTCCGAGTAGCCGGAATTACAGGCACACGCTACCACGCCCCGTTAATTTGTTATTTATTGTAGAGATGAGGTCTCGCCAAGTTGCCCAGGCGGGTCTCAAACCCACGGGCTCAGACAATCCACTCACCTCAGCCTCCCAAGGTGCGGGATTACAGGCTGAGCCACCAAGCCCGGCTAAAAAGAAAATTTTCTAGAGATATTTAATGTCAGTCCATCGCCCAATCCCTGCAAGGTCAGGAGGGGCAAACTCTTCCTAGAGAGAAGGGACTGAAGGTTGGTAGCCTCTCCAGGTAGAACCAGAGCTGCAACAGCTCACATCTTGTTGCCACACTCATACATCTCCATCTCCCTCATGTGTGGTCATCCACATACATCTCCTTTTAGGGCACCATGAAAATTATCAGGCTAAGTTGAGGAAAATTCCCATCTGGGCTGTGGGCACTTTCTGAAGGTGGGTTTTCAAAAAGTTTCCAACACTCTGCCATGTTCTGAGACCACTCAGGTGCTCAGCCTCAAAGAGCTTAGGTTCCACCTCTGTCAGAATCAATATTGATGATACCTACCTGGATGTGGTTTTGAACTCATGTAAGAAAACATTTGCATTGTGCCCAGTGCTGTCCCTGACTCAGAGTGAGCACTTACTCTTCAGCAGTAGTTGCTGTTTATCATCATCATTATTCTTTGAGTGTTTTCAATATACAGTCCTCACTCTTGAGAGTTTGTCAATATGTCTAGATAGAGGTGAATGTTATGGTTGAGTTGGCACTGGAAGTTGATTTTGTAGTGACTGGCTAGGTGAAAACCTGCTAACAGAAGAACCAATGTGGGCTTCCCTACCTTGTAAACAACCAGCACTTCCTTCTCCCCACACTCCCCAGAGCCCTTGAGTGACTAACTCAGTGCCCCCCAAAAAACTGTGAACTTTGAAAACAGTCCTGTTCTGGCACTTTCTAGCTGGGAGATTCTGGTAAGTTATCCAATTTTGCTGAGTCTTAGCTAATTTGTCCATAAAAATGGAGATAAAAAATGTCTGCTTGAGGCTGGGTGTGGTAGCTCACACCTATAATCCCAGCACTTTAGGAGACTGAGGTGAGAGGATTGCTCGAGCCCATGGATTCGAGACCAGCCTGGGCTACCTGGTGAGACCTCATCTCTACAATAAATCAAGAAAAATTAGCTGGGTGTGATGGTACATCCTATAGTTCTAGCTACTTGGAAGGCTAAGGTGGAAGGATTGCCTGAGCCCAGCGGTTCAAGACTGAGGTGGCCATGAGCATGCCACTGCACTCTAACCTGGGCGACAGAGTAAGACTCTGACTCAGAAAAAAAGTCTGCTTGGAAGAGTAGATACTTAAAAAATAGGACAGAGAGTATAGTTCTGGGGATTCTCTTTCAGGGTTTTCTGGAGGCGTTGGCCACTAAATACAAACCCCCAAGTTGAATAGGGTGAGAAGAGGCATCAAGATGATGTGCCAGCAACAACATCTTCAGGGTCTCTAAACAAAACCTACTGCTGCAGGGTTGATTTTATGACTGTGAAGAGATGACACACTGACATGATTTTTTTTTTTTTTTTTACCTGAATTGTCCCCAGAGGTCCTGCCGAAGGGGTCTCTGAAGCTTTAGAGTCTTGGGGAGAACCTGCTGAACCCTGGGGGTCTTCGCTTCGAGTCTGATCTGGAGAAAGTCCATCGCTGCTGCTGTCCTCTTCAAAGGCAAAGGCATCTGCTGATTTGGAGAAACTCACCTGGTTACCTGCAGGAGTGAAGCCCAAGAACTGAATCAGGGGCTTAGAAGCATCAAAGGGCTCTTTTGGAAAGCTTTAACGTGTCATCCCAGTTAGAAGCACACATTTCTCTCTCTGGATTTGTTTCAGGTTTAGGTCAGAGTGAAGATACAGTTTAAATGATTTTGTTTCCCTCATAGGAACTTGTGTTTATAAAAGTGGTCTGTCTGACATAGAGGAAAAAGTGATATATGGAAGGTCTAACGTCATGCGTGAAACTTTATTTTCAAGTTTCTGCATTTCTTCACATTTTCTTTGGGAAGTCATATCTTTCCTAAAACTAAATTGGGGAAGGCAAAGGAAAGATCAGGGAATGCTGGATACAGAATGAGGCCAGAGGAGAATGAGGCAGAAGAGTGAGCCCATCTTGCTCAGGTTTTACGATGAGAGATGGAATTGAGATGACAGCCTGCCATTTGCATCATCTTCAAACATAACACAGGGCACACAGCACAAAATGTTTAGCAGACTTCGCTAATAAGGAGAAGCTAGGACAGCTACTAAGCTTAAATTCCTAAATGTCAGAATTAGCTAATGTCACCAGCGTATCCCATAGAGCCATTCAACTAATGTGTAACTGTTTATAAAACCATAAATATGTCTCGGAAACTTCAGCTTCGTCCTTGTTTTTTATTATTTGGGATTTCTTTTTATTCCTCATGTCTTTGTGTATAGTTTGGAACTTTTCAATGGCTCACACAAGAGGATGCTCTTCCTCAGCAGCCTGCAAGATCTTACTAAGGGAACAAATTGGCATGGGAAAGGGTTATCAGACCAGATGGGTCTATAATGACATCCTTATATGTCCCTTAAGTTTTTATTTGCCAAATTTCATCTGGTTTATTATCCCGCTGCACAGTACACCATGTGCTGAAGCCACATAGCTCTCCTGACCCGATTCCAGGCACTGCTCTACTGAAGGAATTTAGGTATTATCAGGAAGTTTTCCAGCCTGGTATTCAGCAATCACACTGACAAGAACTTTTGACTCTTGCTGTGTGCAGATAAGAGAAAGGAGCTCTTGCCACAGCGATTGGAAAGGCAATGAGAAGCTGGAAGTAATGGAACAAATGTGGCTTTGGGCTTGTCATCGCCACCGCTGTTGGCATCTGTCACTGGTCTTACGCAGTCATTCAAGTGTCAAATAGGGAAGGAAACCACACAAGGACAGGGCAGGTGGAAACTCCAGTTTTTGGCCCAGTGGGCGGCACACGAACTGAGAAGAGCTTGGTGACCAGCATTTCTGTCCCATAGGTCACTTATAAAAGTCATTACTGCTTTACCAGTAAAGTAGTATAATAAAAGTAATACGTGCTCATCATAAAAATTCATACGTTAGGAAAATGCCCAATGTACACAGTTCACCTCCTGTTCATAATTTGTTGTCTCTTCTAGATTTAACTAGATTTAACTCTGTGCATATAGGACACATACAAACACATTTAAAAAGTATTTCATAGCCAGGCTTGGTGGCTCAGCCTGTAATCCTGCACCTTTGGGAGGCTGAGGTGAGTGGATTGCCTGAACCCGCGGGTTCGAGACCCGCCTGGGCAGCGAGACCTCATCTCTACAATAAATCAAAAAATCAGCCGGGGGTGGTAGTGCATGCCTGTAATTCTGGCTACTTGGAAGGCTGAGGCGGAAGGATCGCCGGAGCCCAGCAGGTCGAGTCTGCGGTGGCTGGGAGCGGCCACTGCACTCCAGTCTGGGTGACAGAGTGAGACTCTAACTAAAAAAAAAAAAAAAAAAAATTATTTCATGTAGATAGGACTGGGTAAAATATACTGTTCTGAAACTTCCTTTTTTTTCACTTTGCAATATTTCTTGGAAATCTTTCTATGTGAGAACATAGAGATCTTTCTCATTTTGTAAAAAACCAGCTGCACAGTGTTTCATTGTATTGTAGGGATTTTTATTTTCAATTTTTCTTTGTACTTTTTTGAACTTCAAAAATTAGAAATAATAGAAGAGTACAAAGAATAATATATTTATTTACCTGCTGCCTGAAACTAATAAATGTCAGCATTTTTTCATATTTGTGTCAAAAACCTATTCTCAGGCATCTGACAAATGCTATATATATATATATATATATATTTTTTTTTTTTTTTTAAATCACGGGTTACTCTTCTTCCTCTTTAGTATTCTGGTTGTAAACACCCTCCCTCTCTATTTTAAGAGTCCAGAGTTAGCTTATACCCTTCCTTTTTCCTTTTCTCATAGCAAAACCTAAGATCTGCAAAAAGACTCTGTGTGCCATTTTCACGTAGTGTAAATAATTTATATACCATTTTTTACTTCTCAGAGAGATCATGTGCCTGACATCTTCCAAGGAAGGCCTTCCCAACTATCTCCATGAAAATATTCCCATTGTCAACATAACCAATATATATCTTTACAATCTTGACTTTAGAGATTACATTTTCATTGAAATTTTGAGTCTAAATTTATCTGTGGAATTAAACATTTTGTCCATGTAAAAAGAATTATGTTTATTATCGAGGGACAAGCAAGCAGGAGCAGGGGGGTAGGTGGGTGTTAAGGGTTCCCCACCCCAGAAATTTCATTGGGATCTACTTGGCACAAGCCCTGAGCCAATACCATTCACATTCTTAGAGCATCCTGCATGTGACTTTGTCAGTCCCTTGGGGCAACCAGTATTCTCTGTCCAACAGGACCCTCCGCCTTTTAGTTCTGTGCACTTCTTTCAGTCTAAATGGTTAAGGACCTACTCTGTGTAGTCTGATACTTCCTGGGACAAAGTCCCCTCCCATCTCCACAGAGTAGTGCATCCCAAATGTGTACAAATTGGGGGAATTAACATAACTGCCAAATTCTCCATAGATTCTAACACAGGAGTAGAATCAAGAGAATAGAGAGAGTGGTTTCTCCTCTTATTCCTACTCCCCCAAACTCTACCTTAACTGTTTCAGTGAAGAGATAGCAAATAATAAAAATGGAAGTTGTATCAGTAGTTCACCTTATAGAGTCAACAATAACAAAAACAGACCATTTTGTTAGGCCCCACAATAGTCCAGAAAGTCAGTCCTGTACCACATTTTCTCTGTTTTGTAGATGAGGACATTGCAAAGGGCCAGTCTTCAGTTATTTAGAGACCGAGCCAAGACTGCAGTGCCTGCCTATGGGCTCTCAGAGCTATCTTGCAGAGGGGATGGCAAAATCAGTTACCCTCCCTGGAAGCCAACAGGTGAAGCCATCCTGCTGTTTAGGGAACATTGTCAACCTGCCCCATTGGCTGGGGATAAAGCAGGCACAGAATATGGTTGACATGTCTACTTTTTCTGAAGACATCATGCACTGAGGACGTCTTCATAATTCCACAGAATCTTTTACTTAACTTTTTGAGATTTGAGAAACTAAATGTGGCATCTTGATCTTGAGGAACAAAGAAACCAGAAGATTCTGGGATGGAAGGTCATGATGAATTTTATTTGGACTTGTCTTAGAAAAGGGGTGGTCTCCTCTAACCAACCAAGATACTTAAAGGAGAGAAGACCAAGGTGAAAAAGGTGACCCTGGCCCCTTATGTCATGAAGAAGCAGGAGGCCAAGAAGGTGGTGAACCCCCTATTGAAGAAAAGGTCTAGGAATTTTGGCATCAGACATGATATTCACTCAAAAAATGACCTCACTCGCTTTGTCAAATGGCCTTACTGCATCCAGTTGCAGCAGCAAAGAGCTATCCTATATAAGTGACTGACAATGCCTCCTGTCATTAACCAGTTCACCCAGACCTTGGACCATCAGACAGCCATTCAGTTTCTTAAGCTGGCCCACAAGTACAGGCCAGAGACCAAGCAAGAGAAGAAGCAGTGACTGCTGGCCTGGGCTGAGAAGAAAACTGTTGACAAATGGGACATCCTCACCTGTCCTTTGAGTGGGGGTCAACACTGTCACCACCTTGGTGGAGAACAAGAAGGCCCAGCTGGTGGTGATTGCATATGACGTGAATTATATTGAGTTGGTGGTCTTCCTATCTGCCCTGTGTTGTAAAACGGGGGTCCCTTACTGCTTTATCAAGGGGAAGGCACAACTAGGCCATCTAGTCCATGGGTAGACCTGCACCATGGTCACCTTCACACAGGTTAACTCAGAAGACAAAGAAACTTTGGCTAACCAGGTGGAAACCATCAGGACCAATTACAACAGTTATGATGCGATCCACCATCACTGATGAGGCAACTTCCTGGGTCCAGAATCCTTGGCTTGTATCACCAAGCTGGAGGAGGCAAAGACTAAATAACTTGCCACTAAGCTGGGTTAAATGTACACTGCTGAGTGTTCTAACATAAAAATAATAAAAATTATCCTAAAAAAAAGGAAAAGGATGGAAAGACTGTGAAAGCCCTGAAGTTGACGCTGGCAAATCAGCATTTGCAACACCTGGCATTTGGTGACTGGCCTCATGTCGAAGCACTAGAATGATGTGGAAAAGCCTAGAAGTAGGATATCTGGTAATCAGTCCCCTTCTCTTTAGGGCTTGACGGAGCATTCCTCAATTATTAAATTTATTTCCAGCCTTCCCATTCAAGTTGAAGCATGATTGGATAAATGATGACAAAGAAAAGAGACAGAAACCACAAGAAAGGATATCTGTGTGTCTCCATGGGACACACTCAGAGAAGTTGTCAAGGGCCAGACTGCCTGGTGAGTGTTGGTAGTACTCAGCAGGAAACAGCAGTATGGAGTTGTCCAAGAAGCCTACTGGAAGGGATGGGGTTGAATGGAGCCTGAAATGACCATCTGTGGGGGACAAGACAGCAGAACTGGAGAGGAGGCCATTTGACAAATGGTGGGGAAAGTGGACAAGAAATTACAGAGTGGCAATTTGTGGAATTGGTGTGGGATGGTGAGAAAGAAATTCTCCCAGCTGGGAGAGAAGGTGAATTTAGAAGCCAATCTCTGGAGAGACACAGCCTCTAGAGTAAATGCCCCTTGCTTAAGTCAAT